AGACAGAGTCTTGCTCTGTTGCCCAGGCTGGAGTGCAATAGCATGATCTTGGCTCACTGAAACCTCTGCCTCCTGGGTTCAAGTGATTCTCCTGTCTCAGCCTTCCAAGTAGCTAGGATTACAGGCACCCGCCATTATGTCCAGCTAATTTTCGTATTTTTGTAGAGATGGGATTTCACCGTATTGGTCAGGCCGGTCTTGAACTCCTGACCTCAGGTGATCCACCTGCCTTAGCTGTGGAATTTTCTGCTAATTCCTTTTATATCTACTAGCTAATGTCTAGTAATCTTTGGGATTACTAGCTAATCCCAAAGTGCTGGGATTACAGGTGTGAGCCACCACACCTGGCCCAGTGAATTTTTAACAAATGCATACAGTCATGTAATCCTCACCACAATTGAGATATAGAACAGTCCCATCACCCTGAATCTCTTCACCCCCCATTGTAGCACTCTCCCCTCTACTCCTGGCCCTTGGCAACTGACAATCAGTTTTCTGTCCTTATAGTTTTGCGTTTTCCAGAAAGTGGAATTACACAGTATGTGTGAGTCTGGCCTCTCTTACTTAGCATAATGCATTTGTGATTCATACGTGTTGTTGCTTGTATCCATGGTTCATTCCTTTTTATTGCTGCAGCTGCATGGTATTCCATTGTGTGAATCTACCACAGTTTTTTATCCATTCCCAGTGTTTTTTAATTGCTATGTCCTCTCCTCTAAACTTAAGTGTTTTTTTTTTCTCTCTCTCTGTCATTTGGCTTCTTGAGTACTGAAAAGTAAATTTCCAAATTTACCATGTGTTCTCGGTAGAAATAAAAACTAAGTTGCAATAGGTACTAACAAGCTCTGAATTTCTGCACCTGATACATTCTTGAAGTTTCTTTACTTAGGCCTATTTTAGCCAACTCTCAAGTAGGAGCTGAGATGTGGGGCATATCTATCCCAAAGAAGCCTGTTCTAATTCATCCTTTTGGATCAAGAGTTTTCCAACTTGCAATTTGAAGGACTGACTTGAGATCTGTTATTTAGGGTCATTGCTGCAATTCCCAGGAGAGATGTAAGAAGGCCTTCCCTTTCCCTCAAGGGGTCCCATATCATAAATACATATCCTTGATAATTTGGAACCAGCTTGCCTCTTGTGTCATCCCCACTCTAGGGCCCAGTTCTCTATGTATCAATGTTTGGTTCCAAACAACCCAAGGTATGAAGTCCCATAGTGTTCTTGACCTCTGTCTGAGATGAGACTCTCATAGTTTTGCAGGCTGGGTAAGCAAAGTATAAGATACCATCATAGTTGGCCAATATAGAACAGCTTATTATGGTCTAGATAGGGAAAACATAACCAAGACCAACAATACTTCTCAACCTATATGGTTCAAAGTATGAACATAATGTAATCTACACTATAGAGATTCCAAGAATAATTTTCATTTCAGTAAGTTTCCATTAGTACTGAGGCTTCAGAGCCAGGGATGGTGGCTCATGCCTGGAGTCCCAGCTACTCAGGAGGCAAGGCAGGAGGATCCCTTGAGCCCGGGAATTCGAGGGGGCAGTGAGCTATGATTGCACCACTGTGTTCCAGCCTTAGCGCAGAGCAAGACCCTGTCTCTAAAATAAATAAGTAAGTAAATAAATAAGTAAATAAATAAATAAAAGAACTGAGGCTTCAGAAGCCAAGTTATGGTCAAGCATATCATTCCTTGATATGTTTCATTGGTTCTGTAACTAGCTATAAAATACACAAATGTTTTATTACATTTAAATTTGTATTTAGTCCTTGCATTTTAAGAAGACATCTTAAAAGTTGAGGACAGCTAAATTTTATGCCAAGTACACTCAACTGTACCTGTAATAAGTATTTTGTTTTATTTAGCATTTAAAAATAGAGTGAATATGTGCTGCAGCATTTTATTTATTTGGACTCAGAATATTACTATTTTTCTCCAAAAAGTCTTCCTTTTCTCATTTCATTTTAAAAGAAACTAATTTTCAAAAACACTTTCTAAATACATTCAGATATTAAACATTTTACTTATTTCATTTACTTACCACATAATAAATACAGGGATTTGCCCTTGTTCTCGGATCGGGATGCAGTCCAAGAACCCCAGTAGATGCCTGAAACTGCGGATAGTGTAGAACCCTAGATATTCTAAGCATTTATCATACACTGTGGCCATAACTTTTACAGTTTGAGGTGTAACAGCAAAACTAGCACAAATTTCTTTTTCCTTCTTCTCAGTTTCACAGACAGAAGATTGCTTTACTTTAGATCTTAGCAGCGTCAGCATACAATGTTTTTCTTTCCTTATCAAGTCGAGAACTTTCACCTTTTCACCTAAAGGAAGCACGTGATGGTTTCTCTTTGGCACATTTGCCAGCATCACTACTCTTGTGTTTTGGGGGTCATCGTTAAGTAAAATAAGGGTTACTTGAACATGAGCACTGCAGTTCCACCAAGTCAGTCGATCTGATAACCAAGAGGGCTACCTAATGACCAACGGGCAGGGAGTGTCTACAGTGTGGATCTGCTGGACAAAGGGATAATTCATAGGTGGGACAGCGTGAGATTTCACTATGCTACTTAGAAAGGCATTCAATTCAAAACTTATGACTTGTTTATTTCTGGAGTTTTAAATGTAATATTATAGGACCGCAGTTGATTGAGGGTTAAGTGAAACTGCAGAAGGTGAAACCAAGGATAAATGGGGACCACCTAGATAAAAGTTAAGTCAGGAAATACACAACTTTTTAAAGGCGGACAAGCTGACAATTCTTTTTATCTTTCTTTTATACAGGTGTTTGCTTCAGAATGGTAAGTCAATACAGTCTTTATTATTTTGCCATTTTTTCCACTGTTATTCCCAATTACAGAGATAGGGCAGTTTTCTACTTGGCGCTAGTCTACTATTTACTCCCTGTCCTTGACAGCAAATGAAGAAATATGTGTATTTCTTTGAAATTACTGATTGAGATTTTTATTAACGCTAAAAACATTGTACCCTTCTTAGTATTTACTTAACATTTTCTACATTCAAAAGTACCTCCCTTTGGGTGATTTTAATGAAACGCTTAGATTAGGTGTATTGAATACAAAGTATGGGATTTTCTACATGTTCTGGATGGAAGAAATCCTGTAGGCCAAGGTACATATGCCACACTGCAAAACAAAACACGCTGATGTATAATGAAGTGGTTCCCAGGATTTAGCAGATTAAGCTCCATGTTGCGTTTTAAAATTTATCTTTTATTTATTTATTTAGTTCGGAGACAGAATCTTGCTCTGTTGCCCAGTCTGGAGTATAATGGTACGATTTCAGCTCACTGCAGCCTCCGCCTCCCAGGCTCAAGCGATTTTCCTGCCTCAGCCTCCCAAGGAGCTGGGATTACAGGCGCCTGCTACCACATCCAGCTACTTTTTTATTTTTAGTAGAGATGGCATTTCACCATGTTGGCCAGGCTGGTCTTGAACTCCTGGCCTTAAGTGATCCAGCCACCTCAGCCTCCCAGAGCGCTGGGATTACAGGCATGAGCCACCATGCCCAGCTCAGCTAATTTTTTTTTTTTTTTTAATTTTTGTAGAGACAGGGTTTCACCATGTTGCCTAGGCTGGTCTTGAACTCTTGACCTCAAGTGATTCACCTTCGTTGGCCTCCCAAAGTGCTGGGATTACAGGCCGAGCCACCATGCCTGGCTCCATGTTGCTTTTAAAATTTTAACTTTTTTAAAGTACTCCTTTCCTACAAGTTAATTGTGGCATGCATCTTCACCTACTATCTTAGCTGGGTCACTAGATTAGGTCCCTGGTTCCCAACCCCTGAGGGTTCCAATATTTTCCCATCGGTAAAGTCTCTATTATGAGGCAGCCCCATCCCCCAAAATTCAGATTGTCTCCCTTTTCATTATTATCTAGTAAGAAAGTGATTTATTTTCAGGGCCATCTCTTACATCAGTCTTAGCTGTTAGCATTTTGATTTATGTTGTTTCATACAGCTGGGGATGTGCATTGTAGAGATCTTGATCACCCTGGCCTCCATACAGGAGAAGAGTATGTTTTTAAACAGTTCTAAGGCCGGGTGCAGTGGCTCATGCCTGTAATCCTAGCACTTTGGGAGGCCGAGGCAGGTGGATCACCTGAGGTCAGGAGACCAGCCCGGCCAACATGGTGAAACCCTGTCTCTACTAAAAATATAAAAATTAGCTGGGCATGGTGGCACATGCCTGTAATCCCAGCTACTTGGGAGGCTGAGGCAGGAGAATCGCTTGAACTTGGGAGGCAAAGGTTTCAGTGAGCCGAAATGGCACCACTGCACTCCAGCCTGGACGACAAGAGTGAAATTCCATCTCAAAAGAAAAAAATAGTTCTAGTAGACTGGATCAATAGGAATTTTAGTATGATGTAGTTAAAATAATTCAAAATCAAAATGTTGCTACTTACATAGCATAACTGAATTTGGATCTAGAAAAAGGAAATTTTAAAAGACTATTAATAATGATAGGAGAGAGAAATCTACCCATACACAATTATAACATTTCTGTGCCAACTCCAGAGCCAACAGAAAACATCAGAATCTTTTAGTCTTATAATAACTCTGCAAACCAGCATGTTTATGCTAGTGTACTTGCTAGTTTAATTTTCTTTCTTTAAAAAAAAAATTATTTTAGGTTCAGGGGTACATGTATAGGTTTGTTATGTAGGTAAACTTGTGTCATGGGGGTTTATTATACAGAGTATTTAATGACCCAGGTACTAAGCCTAGTACCCAATACTTATTTTTTTTCTGCTCCTCTCCCTCCTCCCACTCTCCATCTTCAGGTAGGCCCCAGTGTCTGTCGTTTCCCTCTTTGTGTCCACGTGTTCTCATAATTTAGCTCCCACTTATATGTGAGAACATGCAGTATTTGGTTTTCTATTCCTGTGTTAGTTTGCTAAGGATAATGGCCTCCTGCTCCATTCATGTTCCTGCAAAGGACACGATCTCGTTCTTTTTTATGGCTGCGTGGTATTCCATGGTGTGTATGTACCACATTTTCTTTATCCAGTCTACCATTGATGGGCATTTAGGTTGATTCCATGTCTTGGCTATTGTGAATAGTGCTGCAGTGAACATATGTGTGCATGTGTCTTTATGATGAAAAAATTTATATTCTTTTGGGTATATACCCAATAATGGGATTGCTGGGTCGAATGGTAGTTCTGTTTTTAGCTATTTGAGGAATTGCCACACTGCTTTCCACAGTGTTTGGACCAATTTGCACTCCCACCAACAGTTTGTAAGCATTCCCTTTTCTCTGCAACCTGGCCAGCATCTGTTATTTTTTGGCTTTTTAATAATCGCCATTCTGACTGGTGTGAGATGGTATCTCATTGTGGTTTTGATTTGCATTTCTCTAATAATCGGTGATACTGAGCTTTTTTTCATATGTTTCTTGGCCACACATATGTCTACTTTTGAGAAGTGTCTGTTCGGGTCCTTGCCTACTTTTTTAATGGGGTTGTTTATAATTTTCTTATTAAAATGATTTTCCTCATTTTTACTGGAAATTTCAAACTGTTTTAGTCTCTATTTCTGCTTATCAATACTCTATGCTGATCATAATTGTATATTTTTTTCTCAGTGATTGAGAATCTTGGATCGATTATCATTTGGAACCCAAGTTAACAATGTGATTTAGTGTTAGCAGTCTTAAGGGCAATGCAGCTAAATTTTATGTATCCAAAAACACATCATAGAAACTGTTACTGAAATAATTCTCACTCTAAGCATATTTTTTCATAATGTTTTTATCAAAGTGGAATTGTTTTTACTGAAAGCGGAATTTAACAAAAGATACCATTTACGTGAAGATTCTTTTATAATTAGAGGTGTTACTGTAGGTCATCTATACAATTGTTGTCATAGACTACAAAAAATGATTATTAGGTTAGCATTTTTTGGATATTAGAATCAAGTATGTTATGAATTCAGACTTTTGATGCTGCACTTTCTTCTTCTTGTTTTTTCCTGAAACCAGTATACAGAAGATGAAGCTAGGAAAATAGGAGTGGTTGGCTGGGTGAAGAATACCAGCAAAGGCACCGTGACAGGCCAAGTGCAGGGGCCAGAAGACAAAGTCAATTCCATGTGAGTAGTAAAATTAATAACATGTACATGAACTTTGTGAAGTTGCTCTTTTTTAGTTTTTTAAGACATGGCCTTGCTCTATCGCCCAGGCTGGAGTGCAGTGGCATGATCTCGGCTCACTACAACCTCTGCCCAGTACAACGTCTGCCTTCCAGGCTCAGATCCCCCCAACTCAGCCTCCCAAGTAGCTGGGACTACAGGTGTGAGCCACCATGCCTGAACTTATGAGGCTATTTTAATGTTTCATCGGACAGTAAGAATAGTATTGATGGACCAGATTTTGTTTGTAGACTTATAATCAAACTACTATGTTTGTAGGCAGGCCTGTGAAGAAATTCTCAGAGTTGGGAGTAGCATTTCTGTGTTTAGGAATGGACTTCCAACTTGGACTGGCCCGGAGAAGAGTTGTGGCTTCACTCTCCAATCTGTATGTCCTGTTGCAACTCCTCCAGTGTTATGGAGATGTCCGGGGCCCAGGTAGTTCTCATTTGAAGTGTTGTGACAGATACATAGTGCCTTTGGATGGTTCGTGAAGTTCTTAGGGTAGCGTTCCAGGCAAAAGATTGCCATCTTCTTTTTATTGTTAAGCGCCTTATTTATCTAATTGTAATTTTATTTTTCCTGCCAATGAGAATGTGTTTAATGAGCTGGATGGTTACCAAACTATGAATCCTGGAAGTCCAAAAGAGGCCAGATTCAGGAATATGGGGGAAAATGCCTTGTGTACACGATGTCATTTTCAAAAGCCTTGTGTTTTCAGCTTCATAATTTCCACTGCCCTCTGTAGTCTTTTTTTAAAAAAATTAAAAAATAGCTAACATTTATTGAGCATTTACATGTTAGGCAATATGCTAAGCACCTGACATGAATTACCTCACTTAATCTTTACAACAGATCTTATGAGGTAGGTACTAAGTAACACTCAATTTATTTTATTGTTTGCAATTTATCTTTGTTTTCATTACTTAATATTTTTAGATTTCCAAAGCAATAGTTTTTTGCTTATTGTAGTAAGTGAAGTAACGTAACACCCAGATGGATAAAGGTAAAACTTGTAATGTGTACTTTTCTATTTCCCTCCCCTTTATTAACCTGTGAAGAGGAATACTTTCCACAGCTTTCTCTTTCACTTAAAAATAGTTAAGTATGCATTTATAACTAAGGTTTTGCTGATTTTTACTGAAATGGAATACCTTATGCATATTTTTCCGTAGTTTGTATTTTCATTTTCTGGACATTTCAGTAAACAGTAAATATATAATTAATCAGCTCCTTATTTTTCTAATTTTTTAATGTTTAGGTACATACTTGCGTTTGTGTGTAAAACTGCACCTCAAATTGAAAAGTGGGGTCCAAAAATTCAGTTTGATAAACTGTGGGGTGACTGTTAATGAAAAACAGTATTTTTAAGTAGAATCGTCACAAAATGTACAAGACATTTTGGGACTTCCATTGTACAGAACTGACAGTTCAATGGAAGAGAATATGCCAAATGATTGTGATGAAGTTTTAAAGTAGAGGCTATGTCCCATGATGGGAGGGAGCCTAGAAAAAAATAATAACATAGTTTTTAAAAACTAGGGACTACGTGGAAGATAGACGCTCATACCAATCATGTTATATTCCTAATCCACGTTATAGAGGGTCATTGATTAATTTGCTTAACATAAATGAAATAGTTTCATACATTGTGCTCACGTTTTCTATTCAACCCCTGCATTCTCCACCACCCTTCTTAAGTAACTTGTGTCAGCAAGCTAGTGTGTATTCTTCTGCTTGTCTCCATGTTCACATTCTCTCTCTCACATACACATGTGTGCACACACACACATTTATGGGTTTTGTTCAATATTTGCTTTTTAAAAATGGGATCATGGTGTATTCCCTGCTCTGCGTCTTACTTTATCACTCAAAGATACATCCAGGAAAATCCTTTCAAGTCAAACGGTAATCTGTAATTCATTCTTTTTATTGGCTGCTTAATATTCCACAATATATAGATTTATTATTACCTTATTGCTGGAAATTTATTTTTTTCTTACTTGTATTTTGCAATAAGAGCAATGCTGCAATAAACATTTTATTGGCGATTTTATTTTTATTGTATAGATTCCTAGGAGTGTGATTTGCTGGTTGAAGTGTCTGTGTATTTTTAATGTAAACATATTTGTCAGACTGCTTTACAAAACAGCTATAAACAATGTACATTGTTTTCCTCCTCATCCTGTCAGCAATTGTTATTGTGCTCTCTAATTTTTCTTTTATCTGATTGGTTGTGGTGATTATTTTTTGCTGTAATTTGCATTTCTCTAATGACTAGTTCGCTGGAGCCTCTTTATGCTTATGTCTGTGGGTTTGTTCTCATGAACTCCCTTTTCACATCCTTTACCCATTTTTCTATCGAGTTGCTTGTCTTTTGCCCATTTTTAAAAGCTCTTTGTATATTGGTCATGGTTACAAACCTATTATCTGTTATCATTTTGCAGGTATTCTCCCAAGTCTATAATTTGCCTATAGTTTCATCTGTGATAGCTTTGCAACGTCAATTGTTTTTCACTTTTATTAACTCAAATATGGCTATTTTTTCTCTCTGGTTAAGAAACAGATTGTAAGTGTTGTCTCCCAGGTTTTCTTCTAACTTGATGCTCTATTTATTATGTGTAAGCATTTACTCCATCTGGAATTTGTTTTTTATTTATAAGATGAGATATTGGACCAACTATTTTCTATCAGATGAATAGCCAGTTGTCCCAGCATCACTTACTAAATAATCACTCTTTCCCCCATTGCACTGAAATACATTTTTGTTGTGTGTTAAAATCTCATGTAAACTGGGTTTTATTTCTGAATTCTCTACTCTGTTCCCTGATCTATTTCTCTGTTCCTACATCAGTATACCATATTGATTTAATTATACTATCTCTACAGTATATTTCCTCTCACTGTTCTTTTTGATTCTTTTGCTTGCTTCCTTGGGCATTTGTTTTCTCTCTAAACTTTAAGATACTTTTACTTATTTAACTGGAATTCTATTCTGTTTATTAAAACAAACTTACGTGATTGTCTCACACATATGCTTTTGAGGTAAACTTTATGTATTTATTTATTTTTTGAGACAAGGGTCTTGTTCTGTCTCCCAGGCTGGAGTGCAGTGATCTGATCTAGACTCACTGCAGCCTTGACCTCCTGGGCTCAAGTGATCTTCCCACCTCAACCTCCTGAGTGCACATGCTGGCTAATTTATATATATAATTTTTTTTTTTTTTGTACAGATAGTGTCTCACTATATTGCTCAGGCTGCTCTAGGACACTTGGCTTCAAATGACCTTCCTGCCTCGGCCTCCCAAAGTGCTGGGATTACAAAAATAAACTTTATTTTTCAGAACAGTTTTATATTTACAGAAAAACTGTGAAGATAGTACAGACAGTTTCCATATACTCCCCACATAGTTTTCCTACTATTAACATTTTACATTAATATGATACATATGTTAACAATTAAGGGACCAATATGGATACATTAGTATTAACTAAAATCCCTACTTTATTTAGATTTCAATTGTTGCCTAATGTCCATTTTATGTTTTAGGATCCCATTATTGTATTTGCTTTTTAATTGGGCATTCTTGTGAAATTAAGACAAGTGACATTTTGGCCAGGTGCAGTGGCTCATGCCTGTAATCCCAGCACTTTGGGAGGCTGAGGCGGGCAGATCACTTGAGGGCAGGAGTTCAAGACCAGCCTGGCCAACATAGTGAGATCCTGTCTCTACAAAAAATACAAAAATTAGCCGAGGTTGGTGGTACACGCCTATCGTCCCAGCTACTTGGGAGGCTGAGGCAGGAGAGTCGCTTGAGTCTGGGAGGCAGAGGTTGCAGTGAGCTGAGATTGCGCCATCACACTCCAGTCTGGGCAACGGGAGTAGCCTGTCTCAAATAATAAAAAAAAAAAAAGAGAAGTGACATTTTTATGATATTAAATCTTCCCATTTAAGAACACACAGATGTTGTTCCATTTGCTTAGATTTTAAAATTTATCCTTCAATATGATTTTATGGTTTTCTTTATATAGATTTTTGTACTTTTCTTGCTGAGTTTATTTCTAAGTATCTTAATGACTTTTCACTATTGTGTATGGATTTCTTTCCCATTTATGTTTCTAATTGTTCATGCTTAAATATGGAATATCTAATGACTTTTGTATATTAATTATATATCATAGTATTACCTTATCAAATATTCTTATTAATTCTATCAGTTTTTAAAAAGCTATAGTTTATTGGGTTTTTAAAAAATATAGTTATGCAATTAGTAAAAATGGTGTATCTTTTTTTCAATGACTTTATTTGTCAGACCTGCCATGACAATGTTGAATAATAATAGCAATAGCAGGCATGCCTGTTTGGTTTCTGATTTTATTTGAAATAGTTTTATTGTTTCACCTGGTAGAAAGATGTTTGCTGTTGGTTTTAGGTAAATATACTTTATCACAATACATTTCACTCTTGTATTCCTTGAATTAAGCTTTGATTGGTTACAGTGTGTTATTCTTTTGAATTATTGCTGAATTGCCAAGTACTGCTTGCCAATATTTTATTTAGAACTTTTGTATATATATAAGTCACGTAAGGTTTTTTTTTTTTTTTTGATGGAGTCTCGCTTTGTCGCCCAGGCTGGAGTGCAATGGCACGATCTCGGCTTACTTCAACCTCTGCCTCCTGGGTTCAAGCAATTCTTCTGCCTCAGCCTCCCGAGTAGCTGGGACTACACATGCATGCTACCACTCCCAGCTAATTTTTGTATTTTTAGTAGAGACAGGGTTTCACCATATTGGCCAGGCTGGTCTCAAACTCCTGACTTCGGCCTCCCAAAATGCTGGGATTACAGGCATGAGCCACCGCATCCAGCCGGGTATTTTTTGGGTATTCTATCATGTTTTGATTTTCAAGTTTTATTGTCTTCATAAAACATATTAGGAAGTTTTCCATCCTTCTCTTCATTCTGGAATAACATTAAAATATCAGAATTACTGTTCTTAGGTTAGCGGAAACAAATTAGGCAATCACCTGGTCCTGCTACCTTCTCAATGTTGACCTTTAACCACTTTAATTTACTCTGTGGTAACTGGTATGTTTGTTTTTTGAGAAAACATTTTGCTCTGTCACCCAAGCTGGAGTGCAATGGCACAATCACAGCTCAGTGCAGCCTTGACCTGCTGGGTTTAAGTGATACTTCCATCTCAGCCACCCAAGTAGCTAGGAATGCAGGGATACACCACCATGTCCAGCTAAACATTTTTTGGTGGAGGTGAGGTCTTATTATGTTGCCCAGGCTGGTGTTGAACTTCTGAGCTCAAACGATCCTCCTGCCTCAGCCTCCCAGAGAGCTAGGATTACAGGTATGAGCCACTGCACCCAGCAAGTAACTGATACAGTTGAGTTTTTTAGATGTTCTTGGATTCCTTTTTATTTTGCTGGGAAATTATCCAATTTTTCTAGGTTCTCGAATTTGTTGTGATAAATTTTATAATTTTAAAAATATCGTCCAGGTGCAGTGGCTCACTCCTGCAACCCCAGCACTCTGGGAGGCCAAGGTGGGCGGATTATGAGGTCAGGAGTTTGAGACCAGCCTGGCCAACATGTTGAAACCACATCTCTACTAAAAATACAAAAACTAGCTGGGCGTGGTGGGGCACACCTGTAATCCCAGCTACTGGGGAGGCTGAGGCAGAAGAATCGCTTGAACCCAGGAGCTGGAGTTTGCAGTGAGCCAAGATTGTGCCACTGTACTCTAGCCTGGGCTCCAGAGCAAGACTTTGCCTTAAAAAAAAAAAAAAATCTCTTTTGTATCTGTGCTTACATCCCCTTTGAAAATTCCTGATTTTGTATAACTTCATTTTCTTCTCCTTTTTCCTTAATCAGGCTCTGATAGAATTTATCTATTTTATTGGTATATTTTTTAATAACAGCTATTTCACTTTTTATTTCTTCTTTGAACTAATATTGTAACTAATGGGATTCTGAGTTTGTGTTTGTAAAATTCCCAGTTAAAACTTTTAAGGTAATTTTTAATTATTTATTTCTATTTTTATTTGATTATTATCTGAGAACGAGGCCTAGAAGATTTCTACTTAAAAATTTTGTTAAATCCTTGTGATAAATGACATGATATATTTTGGATTGATCAGTTAGGATCTATGATTCAATTAGGATGCTTTAGGCTGCAAGTAACAGGATACCTGATTAAAGTGTTTGAATGAAGGAACTGATTTTTCTCACTTTCCAAACAGGCTGGGGCAAGCAGTCCTAGGGTTGGTTCAATGTCTGAAAGATTATTGGAATGTACATTTTGGTGTTGCCATACTTTTCTCTTTTTATATTTTTTTATGATGGGATTTTCAAACACATACATGAATAGAGAAAAGAGGACAGTGAAGCTCATGTGCCCATTACCCACTTTCAATAACAGTATACTTTCAGACATTCTTGTTTCATATATTCCTCCAACTTATTTTTTGTCATTGTTAGAGTATTTAAAGCAAATTTCCAGCATTATATTATTCACCTATAAATTTGGTCAAATGATGTTAAACTATCAATACCTGACAAAATTTTAACCTATAAAACAACAATTTCATGTTCTTCAATCTAATGTTTGATTATATACAGAAAACAGAAACTCTATGTACCCATCAATATGTATTCTAAATCCCACACAGATCTATGTGCAAATGTCAAAGTGCATTACACAAGCTGTCCGTCATGCTTTTTCCTGGAGGCCTGTCTTCCAGTCTGGGTCTGGGTTTGCTGCACAGCTGTCACTCTGGTGTTTCTCTTTGCTGCTTTCTTGTGGAGCAGACTCCTGTGTCCTTAATCATATGTTTTAATCTTTCTTGATTTATTCTCTTATTTTGCAGAAATGTAATTCTCTATAGCGCTTCCCAAGGAAAGGTGTATGAGAGAAAAAAAGTTTGCATTTCTGCATGCCTTCATTTACCCTTGTGCTTGACTGATTGACTTACAATTTTCTATGCCAAAAATAATCTCTCACTAAGAATTTTGAAGGCATAGTTCCATAACTTACAGTGTTGCTGTTGAGAGGTTTGATGTTATTCGAATACAAAGTATTGGGAGTTATACCTGTTTATTCCCTTAGGAAGTTTGTCAGATATTCCACTTATCTCTCTTCTCCATTTTCACAACCATCTGCCTTTGTGCATGTTTTAATTTTGCTTTAAATGCACTTGGAGGAGAATGTTTTTTCTTTGACTGTTTTCTTCTCTATCTCTTTTAGGCCCTCTTCTTTTAGAACTTCTATGTGGACCTGATCCTCTACTTTATTTTATTTTATTTTATTTAGTAGAGACTAGGTTTTACCATGTTGGCTAGTCTGGTCTTGAACTCCTGGCCTCAAGTGATCCACCTGCCATGGCCTCCCAAAGTGCTGAGATTACAGGTGTGAGCCACCATGCCCGACCCCTGATTTTAAACTTTTCTCATCTAGTTTCCATATGTTATTATGTGGGAAATTGGCTCAACTTTGTCTTCCTACCTTTCTATTATTTTTATTTGTTTCTGCTGCTATATCTTAATTGTTTCTCTTTCATAGCATCTCATTCTTGTTGTTGTTTTCCCCAAATCTCTCTGAGGATATTATGTGTATTTTTCTTTTCAAAGTATTGTTCTGCTTTTTGCATTCTCTTTTTTTTTTTTTTTTTTTTGAGACGGAGTCTCACTCTGTCGCCCAGGCTGGAGTGCAGTGGCAGGATCTCAGCTCACTGCAACCTCTGCCTCCCAGGTTCAAGCAATTCTCCTGCCTCAGCCTCCTGAGTAGCTGGGACTACAGGCATCCGCCGCCACGCCTGGCTAGTTTTTGATTTTTTTTTTTTTTTTTTGAGACGGAGTCTCACTCTGTCGCCCAGGCTGGAGTGCAGTGGCCGGATCTCAGCTCACTGCAAGCTCCGCCTCCCAGGTTCCCACCATTCTCCTGCCTCAGCCTCCCGAGTAGCTGCGACTACAGGCGCCCGCCACCTCGCCCGGCTAGTTTTTTGTGTTTTTTAGTAGAGATGGGGTTTCACCGTGTTAGCCAGGCTGGTCTTGAACTCCTGACCTCAGGTGATCTGCCAGCCTCAGCCTCCCAAAGTGCTGGGATTACAGGTGTGAGCCACCATGCCCAGCTGCTTTTTCCATTGTTTCTGTTTCCTCT